TCTACCTTCTGGATTCATTTCAGAACCTTTTAGAACATGAGACAATGGGAAGTATGCTTTCAGGTCAATGAGCACTCTGAGCCATGTACAGGTGTGGCTTTCTTTTCTGGGTAGTGTGATGTCAGAGCAGTCACCCACCTCCTGTCTCCCTGCAGCAGACATCAGCAGTGCCCTGCCCACACCACAGAACCATCCAAGGTGCCCTGTGACTCCCAGCTCTCACACCTGTGTGAGAAGTATGTAAAGCCTCACTGCCTATGGCAGGCTAGAAGTGTCAGGAAATGGACACCCCAGAATCTGCCACTGATCCTCAGTGATTGGTGCCTAAACACCCTAACTCCCTCACCTCTGTGGTGGGATGATTCTGAGGCTTGTGTTTTGTGCTATTTATCCCTGAGCTTTCATGGATTTAGCTTCAGTTACTAAGTAGTATGCCCTTTAATGGCTCCCTCCCTTCCCTGATGCACTCCCCTGCTGGCATTTCCTGCAGTTCTCAATGAACTACATATACTCAAATCCTTGTTCTGTAAGAACACAGGCTAGATGCTGACTAATGGTCTAGAAATACTAAGTGGGCAATTAAGCAGCAGGGAACCATATTTGACAAACCTTGACTTTTCCATCAATACCCTTCATCTTCCGCTTTCTCTGTTTCAGAGATCTCCTCTTCATACATTCCTACCTTTGCTGCCATCTCCAATGCTCCCTCTTTTCTTTAGTTCTTCAAACAATTTGGTTTCCTGTAAATTGAAAAAAGATTTCCAGGAGTCTCTCCAATGCCCTTCAGCCACAGTCCTTTCTATTCCATTTCCTGCCCTGCCAAACTTTCAAATAAGCATCTTAAAAAATTGCCTCTATTTTCTCTTTTTTTCACTTTTTGCTTAACCACTGACAATTTGGGTAGCATCTTCACACTTTAGCCAAACAGCTCTTAAGTCCCCATTAACAGCTTTCTTGTTACAAAATGTACAGGTCCCTTTTCTCTTCTCTTGTCATCTCCATTACCATTGAGCGTATTGACAGCATTCTCTTCCTGAAAATTGTCTCTAGTAATTGAATTCTTGGGACTTTAGCACTGGAAGGGACAGTGATTCCAACCTTTTCATTTTGCATCAGGGTGAAACTGAAGGCACAATGATTAGCCTAGCAAAGCACAAAAGTTTAAAAGGAGTACTTTGAATCCAGGGCTTCTGACCTACCAATTCAGTATGGAAAGTGCTTTTGGTATAAGTCCTTATCCAAAACTTTCAACGTATTTCTAATTTTTATTCCTGCCTATATAAAGCCCTCCCAGCTGGTATCCTGGCTTCTTACCAACGCAGCTCATTCTCCATTGCAGCACTCAGGATGATGTTTCTGAAATTTAAATCAGAACCTATCACTCTTCCACTTGCCTGCAATGCTTCTTTCCTGCACTTAGAATAAAATTCAAATCCCTTTCTATGTCTGCAGGACACTCCGTGGTTCAGGTTTCTTGCCAATCACATTTCCTACTATTCATACTCTTTAGACTCTGTAGGTCCATCACATAAACTGTTCTAAACTGGCCTGCAAGGTAAGTTTATAGCCCTTCCATAAACTAACACTGGGAGTTTGCTTTGCTGTCCCTTCTTTTTCTAAAGCTTTTACCCAGACCATTGCTCAGCTGCTTTCTTCTCATCAGTTGGTCTAACTCATATGGCCACCTCCTCAGACAGCCCTACACTGAAGTCACCATATCTAATATTGTCCTAAATATATCACTGTTTATCCCATTGTGATGTTTGATGTTACCAAGAGCATCTACCACTAGCTATAATTATGTAACTTAATTAGGGCTTGTCATGTTTCCCACCATTCAACTGTATGTTCATGGAACTTGGCTGTATCTTCAGCATCTAGAAGAGTGAATTGCCAACAGTTGGAGCTCAATAAACACTTGTAGGATGAACAAATGAACAAATAAGCCATGTCTGAATTTTGCTTTCTCATGTCCAGGAATCCTTTCTCTCTTTTGCTCTTTAATCCTATTCCTTAACTACTATCTCAAAGAAATAATTTTCTGTACCGTAATCTAACTGGTTTCCTCATGAACCAATAATAGCAAAACTTACTCCTGTCTGAGAGCCTTTGTTTCAGTTTTCTTATTGACCAAAAATCCCACCCTTTGCCTCTCTAACTATTCAAGTTGTATCACTCTGTCAAAGTGTAAGTCATATTCTGTTTCCATGAAATCACCTCTCACAACCCTCATTGATCACCTTTCTTCAAATTATATAAAATAATTTTTATATTTCATGCAATCTAAATACTCATACATAATCTATTTTATCTTGAAGTATTTCCAGTTGTTTCATATAATAATATTTAAGCTTTGTGTCTAGACATTTCAGATGTGTATGCATATGTATGTCTGTGTTCAGTCAATTCTCAGTATTTGTAGATTCTGTATTTGTGAACTCACCCACTTTCTAAATGTATTATTGGTCCCCAAAATCAGCACATGTGGTGTTTTCATGGATGTCTACAGAGTGATGAAAACTTTGTCACCTGGCATGCCCGTCCCCAGCCGAGGTCAAACAAGGCAATACTCTGTCTCTGGTTTCACTGTCACACTGTAAACTAGTGTCCTTTTTGTGCTCTAGTGCCACATTGTTCACATTTTATGCTTTTCAATAGTGATTTCACTGTTTAAGATGCCTCCCAAACAAAGTGTAGAAGTTCTGTCTTGTGTTCCTGAGTGCTCAAAGGCTGTGATGTGCCTTACGGTGAAAATGGGTGTTAGGTAAGCTCTGTTCAGGCATGAGGTATAGGGCTGTTAGTCATCAGTTTAACGTTGGTGAATCCACAGTATGTATTACATGAAGTGCCTTTAAGTAGAAACATTTATAAAACAAGTTTATGTACTGATTTCTGATGAATGTGTTGTGACCATAGGCCTACAGGACCCAAACCCTATATTTCCCCTAGGAGCAATGATTCAGTGTTCGCTAATACAGGGTTCATGACAACTTTATAGAACATAACTACCATGAATAATGAGAATTGGCTGTATATGTATATATATCATACATGTCAGCATTTGCCTCATTAACCATTTAGGAGACAAAGAAACCAAGAGTTATTGAAATTCAATAGTTTGCCCAAGACTATTTATTTGCCAAGCTGGTAAATAGTAGACCTAGAATCTTGACTGCCATATTCCAAAGCCTTTGGCTATTCACTCGTCATACTGGTGACTTTTCTTTGTTTAATTACCTGTGGAACCTGATTATTACAGGATGAGTGTATAAGTATAGGTACTTGTATATGTGTGTATGCATATATGTATATATACATATATATACACATATATGGAATTGACTTAAAGAACAATGAAAAGCCATAATTGATTTTTAGACAATTTTCTTTATACTTCCAGTTTAAAGGTTTATAGTAATATCAAATCTTAAGAGAGATGTAGAAGAACCTTTTCATTTGACAGTTGAGTTCATAAATCTACAGACTTCATATTCCTCTTCATGGAAATGAAAGTCTGACAGGCAACCAAACCATAAAGAATCAAAGCTGTAAATGTACTGCCATGATCTGGAATTTTACTCTGTCCTACAGATCTTCACCTTAAACTTGCCCGACATTTATCTGAGTAGAACTCACTCATGCTACAGAAGTGGACACACTCACATGTTGTGTGTGATTAGACAGGCCTGATTCCATAAAGAGCTGTCACCTTCCTAATCAATTCTGTGTTTATACAGAGAGATGACAGGAGAAATTGTATCTTGTAATCTATACAAAACAGACTACCATGGGGTAAGATATTATGTGGTCTTCAGGTATAGGTATATATCAGCAAATATACATATATGTACATATACACAAAGTTATTCTTATATAATTCATAATTTATTTTCAAAAAATAAGTTAAACATTTTTGAAACCTCCAAAGCACCCTTGTGGGCACAGTTTGAAAACCCATTTATTTGTTTTTTTCTGTTATGCTGTTCTTCTCCAAGTACATAGTATAAGTTCCTGGAGGTTAAGAATCATTTCTTTTGTGCTTCTGTGTTTGCAAATGACTTTAGTGCTAAATATAAAATATCTCTGATTATTGATAATGCAACCCATGATTGACAACCAGCTGCATGAAGACAATGATTTCCAGTATTGTGGTTAGAATTAGTGTAATGGAGTAATGCCACCTGGTTCTGTAGCATCAGGGTCTGGTTGCACATACAAAACAGATGACATTTTTTTCACATGATATTTGTTCTCTTGACATTTCTTTTTCCCTTGAAAACAAGAGCCAGTTGTGAGGCTCAAATTAATACTTCTCAACTTCCAAAAAGCTGCCAGAGATGGGGCTGAGTGAGGTGATTCCAACAGGGAGGTAAGACAAGATAACAACATTTTATGTCTGCCTCAAGGTTGTGCTACAAATCCTGGAGTGCTAGACAGGGGACTGAGGGGTTTGTAGAAGGTGTGTCATTACTGAGCCAAAGGAACTAATTGGGTTTAGCTTAGAATTCTGAATTCTAAGAATTCACTTCTTTCACTATCATGTCAATATTTCTTGAATATTTCCCTTATTATTTAAATGGCTTTGTGCCCAATGACTTTAATGATACTTTTTTGAGGAGCTAAGCTGTTGACAAATCAAAGTATAAAGGTTGATTTATTTTTGCCCAGTTTAAAGCACAGCTGAATTTTATGGTGCAGATAAAAATGGATTAATCACAGGACTCCACCCAAGGCTTTGTTGGCTAGGTCACTTCTCCAACTGGGCAGAGGACATGTGTATTCAGAGGTGGTGGCCCAATGGCTTTGTTCTGCCAGAAATCATGAAAAAATATCTACTGTGTTTACTAATATAAGCACCACTCAGAATTTGTTTAGCAAAATCTCTACCTAAGCCCCAGAAAGAATGCAAAAGCAATAGGGAGATTCCAAATTTTCATCTGTAGACTCTTGCTTATTTTGTAGTGGAGATTATTGTAAACAATAATTCTTTCTTGCTTCAGGAAAAGCAGCCAGAGGATGAGAGAAAACACAAAGAAGCTTTGGAAGATCTTCAAATGGCGGTGGATGAAGATGCAGGGAGTGAAAGCAGCAGTGCAGATGAGGGGAAAGAAAAGACCAAATTGCTGTTACAAAGATTGAAAGCGCTAGAGGTAAGAAATAAAGCAATTTTAACACATTTAAAAAAAATATGTGTTCTGCTTCTTCCATTGGCATTGGTTTTGACTGAGTATAAATCTGCTTTTCTCACTTCTCAGTTCCCCAGACTAATAGGTTCTAGTCTTCCCATTGTGCTCAAAGACTCTTGACCCAGTGACTGTGATTGTATTGCCTTAACCAGAGTACATTGGACAATAATTCACTTTAAATTCAGTCCAGTGCTCAAACTGGACCAGTTCCCCTAAAATTGCAAGTTTCTTGAAAGTAGAGGCTGTTTGATAATTCTCTTCATTTACTCAATACCTAGTATAATGAATGAATAAGTGAATTAATAAATAAATACTTAATACAATATAAGGATAACTGTAAAAATGAATTTTAGACAGAACCATTATTTAAAAAAAAATCTGTGCAGAAGTTCACTGTGTAAATCATGAACATAGAGATGAAGCTTAGCTAAAGGGTGCTTCAGAGAGGTTTTTGAACCATAACAGTCCTTCAAGACATGGTTTGAAATGGCCAATCTATTACATTTCATACAAATGGAATCTCAATGGCATTTAATGTCACTTCAAGTGTTAATTCCTGATTGTGTATAGCAGTCCTCAAAGAACATTCCAGGTATTAGTTCTTGATTGAGATTTTAAATGCTGAGAGATTCAGCAAAAATGTCTTTTTCTATGAGTGGACTCATCTCCTTTTAGTAAATTTCCTGTTAGCCTATAGAACTGAGACATAATAACTTCTAAGCAAGAACTATGGATGGCCCATCTCTTAACTAAGTACAAGTGACCTTCATTCAGAACCTCTAAAAATGTAGTTCTCCCATTGGGTCTAAAGAATCCTGAAAAGTTCAGCAGAGTGAAGAAGTAAAATTGGAGACATCTTGTTTTCTATGATTGGTTCCTAACATTTTCCCTTGAATCTACCACATGGTCTATAGTGGACACACCCTTTTTACTCTAATTTCCTCAGCAACAGTAAAGAAATTTGTTAAGATTTTGACTTTGGAACCAGACTTCCAGAGTTTGGTTTGAATCCTAGTTATACTACTTTCTATTTAGTCTCGAAACCATGGGCAAATTAATTAGGGTCTCCATGCCTGTTTCTTCAACTACAAAAATGAGGCTAATAATAGTGACTTAACCTTTCAGGAAAGTAATGAGGACTCAGTAACTTAATATTTGTACGGCAATGCCTGGCACATGGGCTCTTCTATGCATCTCCTCCAAGAGTCCTGACATTCCTTAAATCATTTTTTCCCTATTTATCTGGATATAATAGCCAACACAAGAACTCTGAATGACAAAAAATATCAGCTACTGCATCCAGAAGTGACTGAAGGTAGAGAGGTTAGGCAAGTGGTGTCACACATGGACAGAAGAGAGGACAACTTAGGGAACCTCTGGCAGCTCCCCTGGGGAAATGGCCAGAAATTCCTCCTTTCTTCCAAAACGTTCTCATACTTTTTTCATTTTTTTAAGATAGTCACTGTGAAAAGTGGGAAGACCTTCTCAAGAAACACTGAGGTTTCTATCTGAGGATTTTGGGAAACTTGTATCTTTGTCTTGAGGAGAAATTAGCTGGATTTAACAATGGGAATGAGAGGATATTACAAGTTCTTACTTCCCTAGAACCATGTGTTTAAATTGTTAGTTTGACTTATAATTACAGTGAAAAATGCTCTTAGTTTACCTAATTGTCACTGAAAAAACATTGTGAAGAACACTTCATCAAGAGGTATTTTAAAAATACCTTTTTTTATTAGCTCCCACTAGTTTATTTTTTTAATTACGTTTTATTGATTATGCTATTACAGTTGTCCCGATTTTGTCCCCCTTTGGTCCCCCTCAACCCAGCACCTCCAACTCCCTCAGGCAACCTCCTTGCCATTGTTCATGTCCATGGGTCATGCATATAAGTTCTTTGGCTACTCCATTTCCTATGTTGTGCTTTGCATCTCCATGGCACTTGTGTAACTACCTATTTGTATTTCTTAATCCCTCACTTTCACCTCTTCACCAATTCTCCTCCACCCACCTCTTATCTGGCAACCATTAAAACATTCTCCTTATCCATGATTCTGTCATTGTTTTTTTGTTTGCTTAGTTTGTATTTTAGATTCAATTGTTGATAGATATGTATTTTTTGTCATTTTATTGTTCATAGTTTTGATGTTTTTCTTTAATAAATCTTTGTAACAGTTCCTATAATAATGGTTTGGAGATGATGACCTCCTTTAGTTTTTTCTTTTCTGGGAAGCACTTTATCTGCCCTTCCATTCTAAATGATATCTTTTCTGGGTAGACAAGTCTTGGCTGTAGGTCCCTGCTTTTCATGACATTGAATATTTTTTGCCCATCCCTTCTAGCCTGAAGTTTCTTTTGAGAAATTAGCTGATGATAGTCTTATGGGAATTCCCCTGTAGTTAACTAACTTCTTTTCTCTTGCTATTTTTAAGAAGTTGTGAAGCATGAGCCAAGATCAGCCATTCATATGGAAAAGGTGCTTGGGTGGGGCAGTATGGTGGGTGGGGCAGAGTCTCTGGAGATCTCCAAGGTGTGTCCTACAGTGTTAGCCCAGTTGATGGAGTCTCAGATATGGCACCAGCTTGCCAGCTCTCTGGGGTGAGGGTTTAGACAAGGGACAATGACCTCTGCTCACCTTGATGCCAGACACTTTATTTTCTCTATATATACCACTGGTGCCTTTCAAGCTACTGTTCTGGTGCTGAGGCTCAGAGGGAGTGAGTCTGAGTAGGTGAATCCAAGTGTGGGTTCTTAGGAAGAACTGCTTAGGGTTCCAGCAGTTTCTTCCACCAACTCAAACCTCCTTGGTTTTTACAGTCAGAAGTTGTGAGAACTTATCTTCCTGACACTGGAACCCTAGGTTCTGGGGCTTGGTATGGGCCTGGGACTTTTTGCTCCTTAGATATCACTCCCAAATTTTTATCCACCACACATGGGTGTGGGACCAGCCTGCTCTGCATCTGCACACCTCCTATCAGTCTGGATGGATGTGCTGTCTTTAGTTCCATAGTTGTCAGACTACCATTCAACTTGATTTTGTAGTTGTCAGACTTCCATTCAACTTGATTCCTGATAGTTCTGAGTGATGACTGTTCTGTATTTTAGTTGTAATTTTGATGTGGTTGTGAGAAGCATCGAGCCATGTCTGCCTACACAGCCATCTCTGCCTACACAGCCATCTCTATTGGAAGTCAAAATATCTTTGGCAGCAATGTTTCTTAAACCCTTACTGGGAAGTAAAAGAGAAGCAGTATTTTATTTTTTTATTTTATTTTTAACTTTCACAGAGATCTCGCTACTTCAGGTAACCACTCTTGCACATGGTGATAATTGGATGCAATAGATGATATCTCTACATGTCATTAAGCCCCACCATTTTAATTCATAAAAATATTTTATTTTCTAAATTAATTTTTTCTAGGCAGAGTGTTACTGCTTGTTTTCTGAAGTTCTTTGCTCAATACTGAGTTTACTCTCCCCTTGCCCCCAAATATCTTACTACTGTCTACTTGAACAGATAATAAAAAGAGATCTTCATTAAATGTGTATCATATATGTGTATATACACATATATGGTCTCATCCAATTTTCATATGAATTTCATGTTTCCTAATTTACTTAATTTTATTTTTAAATATTTACTATATGTACTTTCTGTGTAATCATTTGCATAAGGTAGCAATTATTGTGGGAAAATAGAGGGTCCATTCTGACAGAGTGCATTCAGGGCCAGTCAGAACCCTGCACAGATATGTGTACTTCAACAAAAGGCTGTTTGGGAAGATTGCAGGGGCATTAAATATAATTCTTTAAAATTACTTTGGCAGATTTTGATGTCGTACAGTAAGATTTTAGAAAACCAAAAAAGTATTTTCATATCTTCTTTTGTTTTAATTTTATTTATTTATTTATTTTTAGACAGAGGGGGAGGAAAGGAGAAAGAGAGGGAGAAAAACATTAATGTTTGGTTGCCTCTTGTGCGCCCCCAACTGCGGACCTGGCTTACAACCCAGGCATGTGCCCCAACTGGAAACTGAACCAGTGACCCTTTGGTTCGCACGCAGGCATTCAATCCACTGAGCCACACCAGCTAGGGCTGATAATACTACAGTCTTGATTCATGTCATGAGAATCTTTAAAAACAACCTAGATTGAGGATCCCCTGACTTTGAGGATTAAGTAAATCCTATTCAGGCACAGTATCCCTTAGCATGAGGGAAGTCTAGTGTTACCCCTACCTCAGAATTGTTTTTCTTGTGGCTTTTTCTGGGGTTGAATTCCTACTTTTACTCAACTTTAAATCCTTCAATCTTCTTTCCAACATCATGTAAAACAGAGCCTTATTACCTGATTTTTTACAAAATCCAGCCCCACAAAGGGTATGTGGTCATGGCAGAATATTCCAAAGGTTTTGAACTTGATCTTTAGACAGCTCAGATTTTTCTAAGTCATTTAGCTGCAGGACATTTCACACTTGCCCTTCTTCTAAATCCCCAGCCTCCTCCCCTGGAGCATGGCCAGCTCTTTCCTGCTCACTCCCTCTCTCTCAGCCAAGTCCCCCATTATTTATTATTCAGAGTTTTATAGGTCTTTGAAGTCCACTCAAGGTCTCATTCCATAGCATTCCCTGAGCTCGTTGAGGTATTTTGCTAAATAAGACATTTACCTTTCAAAAAGAACTCTGGGGCCAGTAATCAAAACAATATCAGTACACACACATGCACACATATTTCCTTTCTCTTCTTAGCACTTGTTTCTCTGCTCAGTGTCTTGGTTTCAGTAATTTTCAGTTGTTCATGAAGAAGAGTAGGCCACTTAACCTCACCTCCCAGCAACTACTTTCCCTGAAACTAATTACAATTTTTGTTTAGAGTCCTGATGTCTAGTGGAGAAACCATTTGGTATATTTTGTATTTCTGCCATAAGGGACCCCATGGATAACCTGGACACCACTTAACTTTCCA